CCCTCAGAGGTGTCCCCCGACCCCCCACCCCTGGGAGGAGCCTGGTCCGCGCCAGGGGTTGTCTCAGCTCACGCCAACGTCTGTGCTTATACCAGGCCTCGAGGGAGTGACGCTCGCACAGGCATTTCAGTGGCTCCTCGGACTTCAAAGACTCCTAAATACGACACACATTTTAAAACACCTTTCAGCGGTTATGCCGTGTGTCAGATATGAGCCCACCAACGATTTTGAAGTGGTGGCAGTGACTGCTTTTTATTATGAATTATTAAAGAGGGTAAACTCGGGCGTGAGTCACGGCATGTGTCCCGCTTACCCCGGCGCTCGGGTGGAGGTGGGGGTGGGAGCTCAGCCCGAGAGTTCAGCGCACGCTGTGCTTTGTCTCCCAGGGAATAATTGTGTGTTCAGACACTAATGTATTCTGTTCCTGGGAGGAAAATGGAAATTGACTCTGCCGTATCCTGGCATCGAGTAATCTGACAGCCGCTCTGTAAGCGATTGTATTAGGGCCCTGGCCGGTGTGGCTCAGTGGACTGAGCGTCGGCTCGCCCACCGAAGGGGCACGGGTTCGATTCCCAGTCGAGCACACGTACCTGGGTCGTTGGGGCGCGTGCAAGAGGCACCTAGTTGATGTGTCTCTCTCACGTCGATGTTTTTCCCTCCTTCCCTTCCTCTCTCCCGCCCTCCCTTCCAGTCTAGCTAAAAATCAATGGAAAAATATCCTCAAGTGAGGATTAATAACAACAACAAAAAGATTATATTAGGAATTTCAAGCAGTAAGGTACCTGTCCCCCTACCCCAGATAAGAAGAGCTTTCTTCTGGGCGGGAGATAGACCCACCTCGTTGCTTTTAGTAGCTGTGTCATTTGCAGAGTTTAGAGCAATGAAATGGCAGAGGGAAGGGAACGGGAGAATGCGTGTGGGCTGATGCTGATCTCTGATTGTCCAGGTCTTCCTTCCTTTTACTTCCAAGTCTCCAGGACCCTACCCTGATGAGGTTTTTCTCTTGCAGATTCTATGCAGCGGAGATTTCCATTGGGCTGTTCTTTCTTCATAAAAGAGGAATCATTTACAGGTGCGTGGCGAGGCCACCCCCACCCTCCATGCCACTGGCTGAATCCCTGGTCTCTGTGGGCGTGTAATTCTGTGATGGGGACTTAAGACGTGGAGTCGATAACCCTCAAGGCAACGGGGACCCGCTGAGACCCTCCGGGCGATCAGAACCACCTCTGATCTCTGGACCTCAAAAGAGTCATCATGTTTCTGCTTCCCACAAGAAAAACATGCTTTTCTCTCCGCCGACAGCTCCTTCCTCCGCCTTTGATCTGGAAGGGAGGTCAGGGAGCAGTGGAAACTGAATTTTCTGTGAGATGCTTAGCTGGGAACTGGAGAGAGAGGCAAAGGGAAAAGCTCCTAAATTAAATTCTGGCTGTCAGCTGTCGTGAGAGTCTGGTGCCAACGAGAGAGAATGTCTCCCAGCATTAAGTGGAAAGTGATGTAAAGGACACGTGGCACTAGGCAGAAGGGAAGGGGCGCGTGTGACCCAGCAAGGCGGTTCTGTACCTGTGGTTTTGCACACCTGGTTTTGTGCCAGACCCCCCTGTGCGGGATGCTGATAAGTCTCGGATGACTGGGCTGTCCCCAGACCTGTGAAATTGGAACCTCTGGGGATTCACTTGTGCAGCCGCAGTTGGGAGTTGCTAGTTCAACCATTTAGTCGTTCATTCAGCACGCATCCGTTAAGTACCTCCTGTGTCCCAGGCACTACGTTAGGCTCTGGGGATGGGAAAATAATAATTCCTGGCCCCGACTCTCCTGGGACTTGTAGTCCATGTGCCGTTGAGACAGCAGCTTGTCAGATACCCTCTGTCTCAGCAGCGCCAGGGGGAACCGCGCGGCCCGCGGGAGGGGCGCTGATGCTGTCCCGCTTCCCTGCAGGGACCTGAAGCTGGATAATGTCATGCTGGACTCCGAGGGGCACATCAAGATTGCTGACTTCGGGATGTGCAAGGAACACATGATGGACGGCGTCACGACCAGGACCTTCTGCGGGACCCCAGATTACATCGCCCCGGAGGTAGGACCCCATGCGCCTTGTTTGCTTGAGCAGCGCCTTCCGAGTACAGCCGCAGCTCCCTCGTGGGGCGCGGAGCCTTTCGCGAGCCACTGTGTGTGGACGTGACGGCAGATGGACTAAACTAGACTAAGCAGAGCAAAACAGACACGCTCACGGCGCCCAGTAAGTCTCCGTCTCGGTTTTTAGAACTTTTGTTTTCCTTATGTGCACACGTACTCCGGTTGCATGGTAAAATGTGGTTTCCTACATGGTCATGGTCATGGTCATGGTTAAAGCAACTTAAGAAACGGGGCCGGGCCGGGGAGGAGGGGTCTGGTGGTCAAAATGTTCTTCACGGAAAAATTGGGTCAGAGGTGGTTCCAGCGAGGGCTTTTTAGCAAAATCAGGGTGATTAGTGCTCTAGGTGACTGACACGTTGGAATTGACCGTGGCGTTTAACCTGGGAAGAACGTGTCCATCCGTGCAGTAGGTAATAGTCTGAGGCCACATTTCTAAGAAATGTTAGAATCGGGCACCCACCTCCGGCTCAGGCCGCCCCCAGACCGTCACACCGCTCACGCCCTCAATGGTTTGCATGTTCAGAGAGCACCGTGCATGCTTCCCTGTGCCCAGCGTGGTGCCACCAGGGCTGCAGAAATATATCAGATGAGGCCCCGACCTCAGAGTGCTTACAGTTCAGAAGAGGTCCCCCCCGTGCAGACAAGCAGGACCGAAACCTATGTTCAGGTTCCTGTTCACCTTTGAGAAATAAGCTGCACTGCTCTGGGATCTCAGTCGATAGGAGCTAGAGGTTGATTCACCATTTGTTAGCATTTTCCTCATTAGGGTCCGGGCATTTGGCATTTCGGGCCGTGGGGATAATTGCGTTGTGCAGAAGGACCATCTAGGTTCAAGGTTTCTGGATCTGGTCGGAGGTCAACATTATCCCGTCCTCTGTAAAAATCATCCTGTCAGGCGGAGGCAAAGTCATTATCTTAGACGGCATTTTCCTTAATAGGCAAAGCGGAGGCTTAAATCGTTACGGCTGCCGTTCAGAAACCTTGAAATGGATTAGAACCGTAGCATCTCCTTAACCGGGGAGAGGAGATAGGGCAGCAAAGGTCGCCAGCAGGTGTGATCCTGGAGCTGAGGCGGACGCCCACGTGCGGGGCACTAGTCGGAAAGTAATTCCTGAGGCCGACGTGGAGGGTGCTCTCTGCCTGGAGGTGGAAAGAATTCTCCAGGGTCAGTGAGAGTCCTTGACAAGGCCGCACAAACACATGCATCCCCCACCTGGAAGTTGGTTATGCGGCACGTAGGAGATCCACCTTGCAAATCGGGTGTCTCCCCGCAGCCAGCGCCAGACCCTGATCACTAGCATTGCGGTTTCCCGGAAGGAGAAGCAGCGGGAAGGGTGTCTGCGTGGGGCTGGCGGGCCTCTGCGTCCCTCCTGTGCCGTGGGAGCGGGGCTTTCTGAAAACGTGCCGCGTGGAATCCTTCCTCGCAGCCTGGACACCTGGCACGACGCAGTGACTATCTGCTCTGTACCCCGCCCTTGGAGCACATTTTCTGACGTGTCACATTTTCAGCTGGTGTCAGGCAAAAGTGGGATTAGGACCCAAGACATTCTGACCCCGAGCCCATGTAGTCTCTCCAGAGGTTTGCACCATCTCCAGAAGTAGAAGAAAACTCCCCGGGTGACAGAGCAGTTGAAAACGAGCGCTAGGATGTTACAGACCATCTTTTCTTTGACGTCTTTTACGCCAAGATGGACATTCCTCCATCTGAACTGGAGTCAGGGGCCTGAGTCAGGGTCAGACCTTGTCATGTGTGGTGCGGTCGGTGACTTGGGATCGTACTCCAGCTGTTAACACCAGGCAGGTCCCTCAGAAGCCAAGGTGAACCAGCAACACTTAGGCCCATCTCCCTCACGTGGCTTCAATTAGTCAGGTATTCGGCAAGTGCCTGCTAAGTGCCTGGGCTCAGAAGGGACCTAGGAGGAGGCCTGGGGCTGGAGGCAGTTAGAAATAGGCCATGCAGCCCAGGAGAGACGTGATGGAATAGTATTCTCCTTGGCAAGAACAAATGGCACCTCCAAGGTGGCTAAAGTCACCAGGGGAGAAGGCCGTGGGCACCTAGCCACCCCTTCAGCCGTCCGGCCACATGCAGATGTGAAACCCCTGGGAGTGTTGGGGACTGGATGAGTCTAGAGAGCTGAAGACCTATCTCGGGGTGTCCTGGCTTCTCCTTCCAGCCCATCGTTGCCCAGGACAGCTGCCAGAAGTCTGCATCTTTATGTAAAATTGGCCTAATTGTTCGAGTTGACTCTCATATTTATTAAGAGAAAGGTATCCAAGTAAGATTCAGCCAATGGGCCATCGGCTGTGGCCTCTCTTCTGCAGGGGTCAAGGGTCACATCTGGGGAGAGCCACTTATTAGGGATGGGAGGAAAAGAGAAGACCAAGGGGTGTGCACAGAGGCAGAGGACAGGGGGCTGTAGCGTGTGCCTGGGATGTCCCTACCCCAGGTATCGGTGTGGCTCCCGCCTTCACCTCCTTCCAGCCTCAGCTCAGATGTCACCTCGGGGAGGTCATCTTTCCTGGTAATCCTGTTTAAAACTGCTGGCTGGCATGGCTCAGTGGTTAGAGCTTCGGCCTGTGGACTGCAGGGTCACGGGTTCAAGTCCCGGTCAAGGGCATATACGTGGGTTCCAGGTTCGATCCCCGGCCCCAGTCAAGGCGTGTTTGGGAGACAACCAAACCGATGTGTCTCTCTCACAGCGATGTTTCTCTTTCTCTCTTTCCCCACCCCTCCCTCCCT